CCCCGTAACGTCCCGTTCCTCCTCCTGGCGCGTGTCGAGGAGGAACGTACGGATGGGGTGGCGGCCGTCTTCTCCTCGCCGTGCGGGTCGTTGTGTGTGTGTGTGTGTGTGTGTGTGTGTGTGTGTGTGTGTAGGGGGTGAGTGGGGAAGACACATTCTATCCCTGACCCGGGTGCCTGTGTATCTGTTTTTCCTCAACCCCACCCCTTTCTTCTAGAGTCTACAATCGTGGCCAGGGGGCAGCATCCGAGGGGGGGCTGGTGGCCCCACCCCGGGAAGCCGGGGTGCACCCACACACACCACCCTGGGAGCTGCCCCCGGCCCAGTGGGGGCCCTGGGAAAGGACCAGAAGCCCTGCTCTCACTCAGTGGAACACACTTACGCTAACGACCGCTCTCCTCCAGCCTCCATCCCTGCTCCCATCTCCTCTGACAAGCCTAACCTTCCGAAGCCCAATTACAGGCCGCATTCGTCTGCCCTTCCTTTCTCAGGGAAAAAATTACAAGTAAGAAGTCCAAACACGAAGCCCACCGCCAGGCCCCGCTTGTCAGAGGAGGTGACAGGCGGCGGGCACAGCCCGGCTCCCGAGGAGGGGGTGAGCCCAGGACCCAGCCGGCGGATCCCGGCCCTGGTTCCCCTCCGCGCCTCCCCAGTTAACAGGCAGCCTGTCGGCGGGGCGGGCGGAGGCCGGCAGGCAGGTACCCGGCCTGTCACAGCCGCCAGACAGGCCCTGGGCGCCGCCCCCGCCGTCTGCTGCTTCCCAGCCTGTCACACACCCCACGCGGAGAGAAGGGAGCAGTCCTCGCCGCCGAGGAGAGCGGGGACCGCCAGCCCTCTCCATCCCGCCCTGCAGGTGGCCCGGGGCCAGCGCAGGCCAGGAGTCCACCTTCCGCATCCCTGATCCCCACCGGCAGGGATGCCCAGAAGCGATTATTAGCGGAGGGAACTCCCAACTGGCCTAGGAGACGACCTGAGTGTTGGTAATATGGGACTCCTAAGACAGGGGGAGGGTAGAGCGCATGCTTCGCGTGCATGAGGTACTGGGATGCATGAGGTCATGGGTTCAATCCCCAGTACCTCCGTAAAAAAAAAATAATAATTATTATTACCAACCACACACACAAATTTTTTTTAATTTAAAACATAACAATTTTTTAAAGAATTAAAAATAAATAAATCTCTGCTGAATGAAGGAGGGACAGGAGTCAAGTTCTACCGTGGCTCTCCCAGCCTCTTCAGTTCTGGAAAAACGTAGTATTATATGTTCGTAACCCTCTTTGGGCATCAGTCCAACTACCAGCATCCCTAGGCTGCCCCATTTGGAAAGAAGGAGACAGAGAAGAAAGATGCTAAGAAAGGAGAAACCAAGAATGGAGAATGGTGAGAACACACTTGAGCACGTCTAGTCTCCTCCCCACCTGACAGCAGGAACACCGGCATTTAAGCCCCGTTAAGCATCATATGTTTCAGGCCTTGCAAAATGATACTAGCAGTGGGGAGGGAGGAAGAGAAGGAGAAAGAGAGAAATGATCTCTCCAAACTGGTCGCTAAGCTACAGAACTTACAAATATATAACCTTTCATGTGCATGCGGCAACCTCCCCCCTTGTAGAGGGGAGTACAAAGTGATGGAGACGGAGATAAAGAGACACTAAATGCCAGCTCCTATCCATGGCAAGGAAGACTGTACATCAAATTCATTAATTATGATCCAATTTGTGCTTGCGCAGTGAAGGATCATCATTTGCCATCAAAGAGATGCCCTTCCCTTATTAAAGCCATTGAGATGCTCAGGAAGTGCTCAAGGGTTTGAAATTCTGTATTTGAATTTCACACATGCTTTTTACTGCTGGGACCAGAACTCAATCAACACTTGATAGTGCTGACACCGACATTCAAGCCACAGGGGTCTTCACTCCTTCACGACAGACCTACAGAGAGGACCGGGTTAGGAAATTTGCTAACTTGTTCTTCTCTGGATCTGTGTGCGTGCGTGCGTGCGTGCGTGTGTGTGTGTGTGTGTGTGTGTGTAACACATAAGCCTGTACCTTTTTTTAAAAGAGTTGAGGTAGGAATAAAAGGACCCCAGCCAACTTAAAGAAAGGAACAATTAACCTCATCTCTCTCCGATATCCAGTGCCCAGCTGTCCGGGAGTGGAAACCGTGTCCTCACTTTCATCTCAAAGCCAAAGCAACATAAACATGTTGCTAAGAGACCAGACTTCTCTTTTAACTCTGGACCCCAGCCTGTGGTCCAAGCCCAGACACGGCGGGCTGGGTTAGGAGCCAGAGCTCAGAGGCTTTTACTCTTTTCTTTAGCAGCTCCTCAGCAGGGCCTTGGTTCTGAGTTGCCTTTTCCATCGCTGTCTCTTGCTTTTAGGATTCAGGCTGAATCAGAGAAAGTCACTGGATTTCTCTAAGAGCTGAATGAAAGCATACTGAATGGCACTGACGCCACAGGATGGAATGCAATGGACTGGAACAGATGGAATATAGTTTGGAAAAACCCTCCCGCCATCCAAAAAGATCTTTCCTTTCCTGAAGCTTCCCCACTGCAAGCAAAGAGGCTTCCGCAGTCTGGAGCCTGCGCCAGCCTAGTTTATTGCTGTAGCATATACAATGTAGCATACTATACTACAGCATATAGCATTGACTACAGCATAGTATCTATGGTCTCCTTGACTGTAGGCCGCGGAATATCTGTCTTGAAATGGAATAGTCACATGCAGCCAAAGACAGTGGTAATATCAAATCCCCTCACAACCTAAGGGGGTGCTGGTGTTGTGTTCATTTTACAGACAAGGAAATCTGACCCAGAGAGGTTAGTTAAAGAACTTGCTCAAGATCATATAGCTAGTAAAGGCAGAGAAGGAATTCAGACTTAGTCCTTTGTGAATAAATGAGGCACAGGCAGGCAGGAGGCTCCATCCCCTGGGTGGAAGAGTAGAAGTCTGGCATGTCTTCTCCATCCCAGAGGACCC